GATAACTTTAGTGCCAATGTTGTCGTGGATGGCAACACTGTGAATTGGGTCTCTGGGACACCGCTGGTACGTTTAGCTGAAAAACTGGCTTGTTCTAACGCAAACGCATGCTTGCTTTTTGTTTCTCGTAAATCTCCCAGGCCAGGAAGACTATAACAGGCTGCGTCCATTGAGTTACCGAGGAGCCGACGTTTTCCTTCTAGCTTTCTCACTTATAAGCCGAGCTAGCTATGAAAACATTTCCAAGAAGGTTTTTTTGCGCTCGAATTAAAACTTGAAACCTCTTCTTGCTTACGCTATGGTCTACATTGCATTGCAGTGGATTCCAGAGCTGAAACACTACGCCCCGACGGTGCCTGTCATTCTCGTTGGCACGAAGCTGGGTGAGTCCTTGATTTGATTCACCGTTTGCCAATGCTGGTTCTTTTCAACTCCAGACTTGCGAGATGATAAGCAGTTTTTTGCCGATCATCCGGGAGCGACGCCTATTACCACTGTCCAGGTACAAAAAATATGTTTTTGTTCGTTCTTTCTAATGCCCCGAGTCATATTCGTGTTTTCCAGGGCGAAGAACTGAGGAAGCAAATCGGTGCTGCTGCCTACATCGAGTGTAGCTCGAAAACCCAGCAGGTCCGTCTTGTGACAAAGGAGTGAAGCTTTTTGCTGCTGTGTTGTTTGTTCTAAACCTCTTTTGTGCTCCAGAATGTAAAGGCAGTGTTTGATGCTGCGATCAAGGTGGTCCTCCAACCTCCAAAGCAGAAGAAAAAGAAGAAGAAGCAAAAGGCCTGTACGATACTCTAGAGCGGAGTTGCGGAGTTTTTTAGATGGATCGCCACAGAGAACATCAACCGGTTCCATCGATTTAACGTTACCAACATATCACACAGATTGGAAAGAAAGAAAATTTCTTATTGCTACTAGCATTTAGTACGTTAAAAAGGATATGCCAACTGTATGCTAATTTTTAAGAAGAAAACCCTCACTGTTAATAGCGTTAGTTATTGTGGGAGGGAAGACAAGGAGACAGGCAGTAGGAGCTAGGGCAACGAGAAATTTCCCCATTCTCAAGTGGAACGCTATGGCGGATTCTTGCGAGGGCTCGGTGCTGGAAGAGGAGATCGATGACGATTACGATCCCACAGGCGAAGGCGAAGGTGAGATCGATGAAATTTTCGCCGGTTTTCTTTCTTCCTTTGGTAGAGATCGTTGAGTTGGAGCTCGAGGCCTTCTTAGAATTTGGTAGGCGAGGATTCAAAGAGTCTTTTGTAGTGGAATGGAGGCCGTTTTGTGAGGGAAAAAGAGAGAATAGCTAAAACAATGCCGAGGGCTGTTTGGAATCCATAAGTTTTGGCGTTTGTTCTAAGTTTGCTAGACTACTCAGACCAGCGCACGAACTTGTACAGGGAATGCGCTCACAAAAACCATCCAAAGCTCCAACACTATAATCAGGTAGCCTTGCTTTGTTCTTCTGCTTGTAAATATCGGCACTGCTTGTGTAGAAACTGAAACTTCAACACAGGCGATTTCATTGCTTCCGAGGATGTTTCCACCAAAGCGTTTGCGTAAGAAAGGTTTTGTTGTGTATTTCCTAAGAATGCTGCTTAAACTTGGCAGAACCAGTCAGCCCGAGAGCTCGAGCTGATATTGGACGCCTTCCAAGTCCCAGTAAGATTAGTTTCTTGTCCAGTGCTATGTATTTCTCTCTTTTCTTTGCAGCCGCACCCGTAGAGCAAGGAAGCACTCAGGGCTCAATGGTGAAGTGGAAGTCTAGCGAAGGAAAAGATAGCCAGGGTGGCCTGCAATACAACGTACCGCAGTCGAGAGGTGATGGGGATGAAGCGGAGCAAAAGAAGGGCCAAAGATCGATGCTGAGTAGCGTACAAACAATGGAGCAACCTCGACTTTCTCCAAATTACACGTCCATGCAAACGGAGTTGCTGGAGAAGGTAAAGAGGGACCTCGAGGAGGAAGGCTGCAATTTGATGGAACAGAGGCGAAGGGATGTCATTGAAGAGGTCGAAAGGCAAATAGATGAGGAGAGGAAGAGGCTGCAAGAGATACAGAACTCGAAGCTTCAAGAAGATCTGGAGCTCGAATATAAACTTCTCGAGCAGAAGGAGCTGGAGAGGAAGCGTGCTTGGGAGGAGAGGCTCAAACAGGAAGAAGAGGAGAGCGCGAAGATGGCCAAAGATCTTGCAGAGCGGAGGAAGAAGACAGAGGAGGATGTTACAAAGGTGTTGGAGCTGGAGACGAAGAGCTTCGAGCTGGAAAGCTTGCAGCGGCTGAACTCTTTCAGAGCGGCTCTGGAGGACGAAGAGCTAAAGCTAATCGAATCGGAGAAAACGAAGACTTTGGCTCTCGTCGAGGACAAAGTTCTAGCAGAGGAGGAGCTTGTCGCGAAGGAGATGAAGAAGGACGCTCTTGGAAGGATGAAGCTACTGGCCCAGGCGCTGGAAACGGCCGTTTACGAAAGGGAACTGGAGGTGGCGAGACAGAGGGCGATGGAGCGGGTGGAATGGGAAAGAAAGGAGCATCGGATGAAGATCGAGAGGGAAGTGGACGAGGAAGTGGCCAGTTTCAAGGAAGATCTTGTGAAGGAGAGGAGGGAGCGAATGCTACAGCAGGTTTGCAGGAGGATTTGCGAAGAACACAGGCTCCATTACGAGGTAATCTCATTCCCGATCGAAGGAAGTTCTAACTCCAAGCAGGCTTTGTCGCGAGGAAACTTTGGTGTCCCGGACAAAGCGGTCATGGCTGCGAGGGTCTGAAAAGTCTCCAAAAGTTTTCCAGCTCCAATAAAGCAGCCATTAGAACTCACGATCGATCGAAAGCTGCAAGTAGACGAGCGAGCGAGTAAAACTTCCGTGATCGTGTGCCCAGTAAATTCGTGAAGAACACGAGTTTAACTGTTGGTAAAGTTCTCGGCAGTAAACGCCCGAGGAACTAGATAATTTATAAGGGGCGGGCAGTGTGAACGGAGTTAATGGCTGGGAATGAGCTTGGTTTTCCGGGGAGGACGCTAAACCCTTATTCCTAGCAGTATTGTTTTTGCGGCCGATAAACTGGGCTAGGTGGGAGAAGGGCTTTGATTTTATTTGTGGAGCGCGACGACGGCGGAGGAGGAGTGATTTCTTCGGCGCTGTTGCTCCAGCGCGCGAGCACGACGGCGGCAGCTGTGAATTCCTTCCCGGCGCGCAGGAAATCGCGATGGAGGAGGGGTCTTGACCTAATTCGAGGTGCGGCATTGTTAGGGTTTTTGGGATTGATGGAGAGCTCCCAGGCAGCAGGCGCTTCCGCGTTTTAGGCCTCCAGGAAGAAGAAGCTCGAATGTGGCACACGAGGGAAGTCAAAGCTAGAGCTGCGCGCCACTCAATTCTATTGTGGAGATTTAGGAGAGGTATTAGCATTGGCTTTTCCTTTGGCTCTCCTCGGACTGATTTTTTCTTCTTTTGGTTTTTTTTTTTTGCCTCCTGATAATGGTTCTTTTCTCAAGCGCAGATAGAAGAATGTGTGAGCGGGAACGGTGCAGATTACATAGCGAATTTTAGGACAAATGCAATTTAGATGTTTGAGCAAGAGTCGATCATGTACTATCCGTTTCGCCATGATACCAACTTCAAAGAGGTAAGCGACGACTTTGGTCTGTGACCCCCTCGGATTGAGAAGTCTGACTTCTATTTTTTTCGGCTGTCGATGATGTAGTCTTCGCTAAACAGCTCCGCCTCGACACTGCTTGACTCTGGGACTTCCGGAAGACCATTTGCGTCTTCCTTCTCGGGGCAGTCTTCGACCACGCCCGTTTTCAACCACGGAGGTAAGCCCTCGTGTATCGTGTGACACTAAAGTGATTGGTGTTGGCGACCAACACTATCAAACAGGATCGATACAGGGGTTTAGCAATGTCCAAGGGAGCTACAACATGCAAACTCTACCCAGCTCGTTGTCGTCTAGAAACGCAGGTCTCGGTGGTTCCTCGAGTGGAGTACACCAGCCCACCGGAGGACTGCCTAGCGGACGGTTTGCTTCCAGTAATCTTCCCATCGGACTCTCACAGGTTTGTGGATATCAAAGCCTTCGCAGATGACTTGATGCCATTTTCTTTCTGCAGTTGTCTCAGAGTAGTCTTCACGGGCATAACTCTATGAGCAATCGTGCCGGACTTAACGTTGTAGGAAACCATCCTCTTAGTAGTGGTATGAATGGAGCTGGCGTCTCGGGTCCAGGGATGTCACCGAATACAGTGACTTTGGGTAATAGGGGGAGCATGACAGGGTTGGGAGGGGTCCAGATGGGAGGAGGTTCAGGTCCCAGGGTGCAGGCTTCAGTAGGAAATATGGCAGGAGCTGGAGCAGGGAGCAACCTTAACAGGAGTTTGAGCTCGGGTGGTGGTTTAGGAGTACCTAGTCTAAGTTCGTCTCGTATGAATTTGGGGCCCATACCAAGTGGTGGCGGCCTCGGTGGAGGAGGACCGGCGTCGGGAAGAGCCATGAGTCCCATGCTTCAGCAGAGCGTCAACACTACTTACAGCCCCTCAGGCGACTTGCTGGCAATGATTTCTAGAGGTAAGCTCTCTACAAGTTTTCAAGCTTGTGCTTTGCGTTTGTAAAAGGTTCTATTTCGCAGCGGTACCCCCTCAAGTTGTGTCATTGCTTGGATCCAACTTCTCAACAAATTCGGGGTCGGGTATGCAGGGGCAAATGGCATCCGCAAATGGTCAGCTCGGAAATCTGGGCTTGGGAAGTGATGGTAGCCAGAATGACGGCGCCGCGTTCGATATCAACGACTTCCCCGTTTTAAGTAACCGGCAGAGTTCAGGTGGTGGTCTCCAAAATCCTCTAGGTTGGTTGGCTTTGAGGTCCTCTAAAAAAGCGCAAATTTGACTTTGTAAACTGCAGCCGCATTCCGAAAACAAGGCGTCAACTCGCTTGGCCAACAAAATCAGGAGTTTAGCATACAAAACGAAGATTTCCCCGCCTTACCTGGTTTCAAAGGTTCAGTTCGTCTTCTTGTTGTCTGATCTGTGAGCTAAAACGATAAAACTTGTCAGGTGGCAATGGAGACTTGACGTCCGAAATGCATCACAAGGAGCGCCAACATGAGAACTCGATGGGTTTGATGCCGCCGCAGCATTTCGGGGTACGTTATTTTCCTTTATATCTTATCTTCTCTGGTGAGCCGATTACAATGCGGGAGGGTGTATTGCAGATGGGTCGATCGGGTGGTTTTCCTTTGGGTGTATCGTTTGTTGCTCGGCAACAGCAGCAGCAACAGCAGCAGCAGCAGCAGCAGCCGCAGCAACAGCAACACCAGCTATCCGGCTCGTCTAGCACCGCCGAGTCAAATCTATCCCATATGCAAGACTCGTATCATTCTTCTCACGGCTTGCCAGCTTCTTATCAGGTACATTTCTAGTTGCTTGTGCAAACTTAGGCTCTCCAACTGTCGTCCAGATGCATTCTTCCGGCCAACCGGGTGCAACCGGCTCGCAAATATCACTGGGCCTGCGCTCGGGAAGCCCGGCTGTGGTTGGAAGTGGTGGATTGGGTTCTTACGACCTGATGCACCAGTATGAGCACCACCAGCAGCCACACTTCCGGCTGGGTGCTCATCCTCAACAGCTTACAGCAGTCGGGCAGCCATCGAGAGAGCTAGGAATGCGACCATTACAGGACATGGACCGCTTTGGGCTTCTAGGCTTGCTGAGTGTAATAAGAATGACTGAACCTGACCTCACCACGCTCGCGCTGGGGACTGACTTAACAACTCTAGGACTAAACTTAAACTCGCGGGAGAACCTCTACAAGACTTTTGCTTCTCCTTGGGCCGAAGGACCAGTGAAAGGCGACCCGGAGTTTACTTTGCCTGCGTGCTACATCCAACAACAAGCTCCCAGACTCCAGGTTTGTGTCTCTCTCACTCTCTTCTGTCGCTCTCTTTCGTTTAGAGTTTTTCAGTCTTTGCTTTGTATCGTTTCTACTGCTGTAATGTCTTACTAATGGACGCTGTGTTTTTTAGCCTGGCAATTTTGGAAGGTTACCGCAAGAGGTCCTGTTTTACATCTTTTACAGGTGAGTTTTACTCGTTACTTTGGTCGTGAAAGCACTCGTACTGATGCTGTGCTTATCGCAGTATGCCGAAGGATGAGGCCCAACTCTACGCTGCAAACGAGCTGTACGTTCTTCGCTTTCTCTTCGGCTTTTCTAAAGTTTTTCTCGTTCTCAGATCAAACAGAGGGTGGTTTTTTCACAAGGCTCAGCATATGTGGCTCACGAGGGTGCCGAATGTGGAGCCGCTAGTGAAAACCAACAATTACGAGCGTGGGTCTTACATCTTTTTTGATCAAAATAACTGGGAAACCACACGAAAGGTAAATCCAGGATCTGGTTTTGCTCCAGTTTTCGATCGATCATCCATGTTTTTTGCTTTTGTTCTTCGCAGGAAAACTTTGTCCTTCACTACGATATGTTGGAGAAGGCACCGCAGCTTCCACCGCCGCCACCAGCTCAATCGTGATGTTGTTAAAGAAATTTGATCGATCGATCGAGAGCGCGCTCCAGAGCTCTCAGTCTCTCGCTTCTTTTTTTTTTTTTCTTTACTGTCGCAAAAAATCTGTGTTGCTGTAAAAGCTAGAATTTTGGATACAAACAAGCCCTAACCATCGATCTATTGCCGGCGAATATCCCGCTCGATTCTCCTCCTAGGGCGATCGCGGCGATGACGATGGCGCTCGACGGCTATGGCGCTCCTCCAGGTGCTCTCTCCTCTCGATCGTGATGCTTTCTTGCACATTCTAGGCCTAGGCAGAGGTGATTCTTGTTGGAATTTCGCGAGCACGCCAAATCTTGGGCTTCCTCTTCTTCAGGGTTGAGAACTTGCTGAAACATTTTCTTGGATGATCCAGAAAAATGTTTCTAGGAAGGACGGTTGCTCTTGGCTCTTCCTCCTCGTCTAGTGTGGAGAATCGCAACTAAGGTAAGTATCATTCCCTCCACTGCAAGGGAGAATGGCCGAGGATGATCCGGACAGAGATGAGGAGTGGTTTAACGAGGTGTATGGAAAGGAATACACTGGGCCTCTCTCGAGAGCTCGCCAGCCGCAAGAGCCCGAGAGAAAGAAGCCAGCAGCAGCTCAGGTGGAAACCTCGGACGAGGAGGAAGAAGGCCCTCGCGATCCAAACGCCGTGCCCACGGATTTTACTAGCCGAGAAGCCAAAGTCTGGGAGGCCAAGGCCAAGGCCATAGAAAGGAACTGGAAACGTAGGAAGGAAGAAGAGCTCCATTGCAAGATTTGTGGCGAGGCTGGCCACTTTGCTCAGGTGAGTTTCTCGACACTGTTGATGGCACACACACTCAAGCACAAGTTGGTTCTTCATCCTAGTCTCGTAAAGGAAGCCATTTTAGCTGCTTGGTCTCTCAAGCAAGAACTGGAAGGAAGTAACTTTGGAAGTTAGAAGCTTGAGCATTGCTTTCTTTCTTTTCTAGCTCTTGCATGGTTTAGTCATTTTTTGTCCTCCTATAGTTTTGACTTGGTTTTTTTGCTTTCGATTCCAGGGATGCCCGACAACTTTGGGTGGAAGCCGAAAGTCTGGAGAGATTGTGGAGAGGGTGACACTCAAGGACAAGCGTATCAAGCCTCGTCTCATAGGAACGGGAGGGAGTGTGATCCAGGGGATTGAAAAGGATACCGGATGCCGGCTTAAGCTCGTGGACAACCAGGGAGATGGTCACGGGGTCTTCTTCGTTCGTGTTTCGGGGCCGGACAGGCTAGCAGTATCCAAGGCAGTGAATGCGGTGAAGAAGGTTACCGAGCAGTTTGATAGCGAGTGGAGCCAAAACTCGAGAGGGAGAAACGCGAAAGGCTCGAATTCTCTGGCTGGTGGACAGCTAGAGCACGTCCAGAGGCTCCAACAACACCCTTCCAATGGTGGAGCCTTGCAAGCGGAAGATTTAGAATGGGGAAATCTCCAAGTGCAAGTCCAAGTCCAAGGTATTGGTTTTGTTCTTTTTCTTTTCTCCACGTTTTAACAACAATCTCCTTCCCTCAAGGTCGATCTGCAAAGGCTCCCCGGGACGAGTATTTTCGAAGTCGCAGTCTAGAAAACGGACCATACTGTTCTGCGAGGCTGTACGAACAGGAAGTCAAGAGTCCCGAGACTCTGGATGAGCTCGAGCAGTGTTTCTTGCAAGAGGCGATGGAGCTGAGCAAGGAGCAAAGCGCTGAGGAAGACAGAGAGCTAGCAAGGCACCGAGAGGTAAAGACCGATCTTTGGTTACATTCCAGCAGAGCATTGATCTTGTCTATCTTCTGCAGTGCCTCCGTGGGATTCAAGAGCAGTATCAGCAAAAGATGATGAACTTGAGGACCAAGCAGAGCCGTCGAAGGGACGAGTTTTTGCATCACGAGATTCACATTCGTCAGCAGTACTACCAGCAGTCACCAGCGGGCTATCTTCCGGACGGAGCACAGTGTGGTGGTGGCGGAGCCCATGGATGGTTTGTCAAGGAAAATCGTTGAGGGGCAACTCGAGCAACCAAATGATCCCGAGAAGGAGGAGCAGCTGCGCAAGTTGCACATGTTATGGACGCCCTCCAAGGGTAAGCTGCTATTTCCTTTGTTGGTGCCTGTGGATGTTTCCTTCGCTCTGTGGCACTTGTCTAGTTGTTGCTATGGCTATGGCTGCAGGTGGCGCTGTGGTTTCTTGAACAGCACCTTGTTGTGGCTGGCTGTTTTGCCTGTGTTGGCTTAAGCTAGTTGTGTGGACGAGTTTGTGTATACATAAGATATAAGATGTGACTTGATGCTTGTTATTCTCTACTGCACTGCTTGAGAGCGCATTTGTCTTTTGGTGGCTATGCCGTGGCGTTGTAACTGGTTTCTGGGTGTTTTTTTCACTTGTTTTCTTGTTTACAGGAATATACATTACGGAAACAGATTTTACACGTTGGTGTGACACTTATATCTCTCTCAAACGGTCAGCAGTAGCACAGTTAGCAATAGACGAGTCAGGTTATAAGGGAAGGTTCCCTTCTGCTCGGACACTTGTGTGCTCGCTTGATGGTTTACCATGCTTATTGTGGGAAGGTGTTGGAAGTGGACTTGTAGAGTTGGACAAAAGGTTTTCAGAAATGTTGTTTCCTCAGAGCTTGACTGTGCTCTTAGCACCTAGTGGATCAGGGAAAACAAGAATGCTGATTGAACTAGCCAGCACCAGGTTCAGTTTGTTTTTCACAGGTGACCGTCCCATTGTTGGGTTTGGAGGAGGATCAAAAGATGTTCACAGAGTGGCCAACTGGGTGCAAAGCCATTTTCCAGGAGGGGAAAGTAATATTGCCCCAGAGGATCCAGTGATGCGGTGTGGCGTGGGGGCCTTAATCCTTGCACGGCTCACTTGGCTTAAATTATTGAAAGAGTGTAAGCCAGGGCTTGTTCCACGAGACTGGGCGTTTTTTCAGCTGGAGTATCCGGCAGTTGATGACGTGTTTCTACATCTGGTTGAGGAGTTGCTTGCTTTGGTCCGTGATGTCCATCAAGCGCCCTCTTTGGCTAACAACTTTCACTTCGGCATACAAAAGCTGCTACACGAGGTGGGTTGGGGGTATGGCATAGTTGTGCTAGACGAAGCCCAGGCATTATTAAAGTGCAGCCGAACTCCTCAGGAAGGGCAGTCTTTGTTGAATTCCATCGTTTTTGCGCTTAGGTCGTATGGTGTGCTGCGAAGTCCCCTGTTTGTTTCAGGTACAGGAAAGTGCATGTTGACGTTTCGGCAGATTCTTTATTCTGGAAGATTTGCGAAACAGTCGTATATGAGAGAGATTTACAGTCTACCTGGGTTTGATGGCAGCAACATCCAAGCGTTTATGGAAAGGTTTATAGATGTCAGTCGTCTAGACATGCTAGCTGTTATCTCCACCTACACAGGAAGGAGACGACTGTTATCAACCGCTATTGAGAAGTATATTATGGAGACTGCACCTGCTGCAGATTGGTTCATGGAGTTTGCACGAAGGATGATCACTGAAACAGGCCGGGAACTTGGAGTCCATCGCTCTTTGAGAGATGATGCGGTTTTGCTGTGGAACGATCCTGAGATGGCAAGCTTTATAGAAGATCTAATATTTACTTACTATCTCTCAGGTAAGACAGAAAGCTTTATAGAATTATGTGAAATTTACTTTATTACTTTTTCAGGTGCCGGACATGTGATTGTACCAGGACGGAGGAGGGGCATGACTCTTGTAGACTGTGGTTTTGCAACTCTCCTTGAGAGCAGCAATGGAGCAGAACCTTTTGCACCTATACTTCCATATATCAGAGGGGTCACTGATAATGAAGTTCAAGCTCCTGGTTCGTCAGTTACAACAGAGATTTGTTATATAATTTTGCGAGAGCCATTGGTGGTAGATGCATTGTGGTACCATATGCCACAAGGTACGTTCATGGGGTCCTTTATGAACACATTTAAAAACCCATCTATACGCAAAATTAACTTCAAGACATATGTATGTACAACTCTTGGAAGTGTCTTTGAGAAGAAGGTGCCAGCAGAGGTGCTCGGATTGGTTGAAACACACGCCATGTATAAGGAGACTTATGAGCTTTTAAAACCGAAAGAACTATCAGCAATGCTAGTGCAAGAGATTGGGAATGCGGAACAGCTAAACAACTGGCTCCAGTCAGTGGAGACTGGTTTGTCGTTTGCAACATATGCTCACACAGGGCCATTCTGCAAAGCAGGACCAGAGGCAGTGTTTTTCTTGTGGAATGGTAAGCTGAACAAAAAGATGCCTGTGTTTGTACAGTTCAAAACGGGAAGTGAGCTAGGAGCAACTCAAGCATTTGCGACACTGGACATCATGAAACTGGACAACAAAGTGAATTCAGAAGGCTCTCACAAACTCAAAGAGTGGTGTTCCACTGGGTATATAAGACTGGTTGTGACAACAGAGCAACACCCACGAGCGGGAGAGGTGGTCTTTGAAGAAGTAAGGCAGAGTGAACATTTGAAAGAAAAAGCTGTGGTAAGTTTGAAAGTTGCATGCTATTTGAACTTACTACTGTGATCTGTTCTGTAGGTTCCACCTTTGTCAGCTGTTTGGGCCGGTGAAAGGCTACGTGGTATTGTGAATATAGAATTACTTGACGCTATAGAAGAGTTGAAGAAAAATCTGAACAAACGGAAAACGGGGCAATAAGCTGCACTCATTCTTAAGAAGCTGAAAGCTTAGTATTTTATATAGGAATTTATGTTGTATTGAAGCTACACCGTCAGAATCTTAAACAAGTGGGTGAGCTTGTCAATGGGTGAGCTGCTAATTTGAGGGCTCTTGTCCTTGTAAACCTGGACACAATCAAGCGTTAAGCGGAGACGTTTGTAGTTAGAACGGATTCGTGCAGTGAGGAAATGCGTGGCAGTGTTCGAATCTAATTTTCTTAAAACCCTTCAATGAATTCGGCCCTAAATCGGTGGTGCCAGTTTTTTCTTAAGGGGAGCGCCCCGGAAAAGTCAAAGATTTTCTCAGAGAATTAACACAAGTGCACCTTGAAGCACTAAGTGCTTTTCACCACTCGATTCTCAGCACAGCTCCCGCATTCACTCTCGCTAAGAAACGGGAAGGGCCGCGAGGATAGCCCGTAAACAACGATAGTTCACCTTCAACTGCAACACGATGCTCACTTCCAGGAGATCCGAGCAGCGGCTAGATCGCAGAACACGTAGAGACAAAACATGTTCGTCCATGACACAACAAAACGAAGTCCCAGTGTCGAGTTTGGAGGCCTGGCAATGGATAGCAATCCCTTTCTCCATCGCCATAACTTTGACAGCCTTTCCATTCACCTGCAGTGACCTCTTCTCTTGCAGCGAGACTTGAGTGTGCTCGAAGACGTGAGTGCATGCCCCTCGGATATCATGCGTTGGAACACCGTATCTTCTTCTCCGCAATCGACACAGGCCAGAACCAGCGAAGTCCACGACATGACATCGTGCGAGCACATAAGCATCCAATTCGCACGTAAGCGGCGACTAAGGTGCTCGCCAAGATCACGTCCGTTTTGAAGTAGTTTCTCGAATCTCCATGAAGAGCCGGTGTTCTCTCCAAGCATTTGAGCTTGACCATCTTTCCATCAACTTCCACGGCCCCTTCCTTGGGCGCCCAGGCCTTCGACACAACAACTAAAGCCATAGCATCTGGAACAAGCCACTGTTTTCTATCTGAGAAAACAAATCCAAAGCTACCTCTGCTTGCGAGTTATCCACGTATCCCAGCATGAGCACCGGGCTGTGGCAAGGCATGCTCCTGAAAACTCTCTCAGCCTCCACCATGCTGACACACTTGGCATACATCTCCACGAGAGTGTTCGACAAAAACTCGTCCCTCTCGTATCCTTTCTCCGCGGCCTGGATGTGAATCACCATCCCCAGAGAATCCACTTGCACCATCTTCCCTTCAAAACTTGTGGCTTCTTCTTTCGCTGCTAATCCAATGCAGGCCTTCAAACCAGTGACAAACTTAAAGGCATCCGCTGTAGTAGCGCTCGCGAAGCTTTCTAGCGCTAGCTCGGCTTCTCCATTGTCTACGTATCCCACCAGTAGCGTGTTCCACGAGACAAGGCATCCTGTCGAAAACTCCTCGGGCACCAGCCATGCTCCCACACTTATCCAGAGCGTTTCCAACGAGAACATCCAGCGCTGAAAACCCAGTAAACAAACTTTTTAACAAGTTTGTTTACTTACAGATGGTATCTTTCACAGTGCCAATCAGTAGCAATGCACCGGGAGCTACTTCTACCTCTACGATCTTGGAGCTGCGGCTCACGTCCGCCCGGATGTTTCGCAAGGCTGGAGCTGCAAGAGACATGGTGTTTCCACAGTATGGCAGGAGAGCCGCAAGGACTGATGACTGAGCTTACCTCTCGGTTGCTTTCGTTTGCCTGTTCATGGCGAGCACCGAAGCTTTGCCTTGGGAAGCAGTTGCAGCACAGAGAGAGTACGAGACTTGCTGCCTGATGACCGGTTATCATTCCGGAATGGCTTGACGAGCATAGTGGATTTCGTTTGTGATTGGAAGATGCTGACTTTGAGAGGGATTGCTGCAAACTTACTCCATGTGGATCTAACGTAGGGACTTTGTGGCTGCACCCAGTGGAACAAAGCTGAGCTACTGAACAAGGATTTTACCTGGATGTCTAGTCCTGTAAATCCAAGGTTCTTCGCAGAGGTAAGGCTCCGGTCTCAATTTCTTTACGAGCTGCAGCAACGCCGGATGCAGAAAAGGATTTTTTATCCCAGTCGCATCGTCTTGGTGTCGGTGTCATGGGTTTCTTCTTCATCTGTGATTGGAAAGGAACGAACAAATTCTTTCATAAAAGAGCAGCCTTGCAAATATACCTGTGTGTTAGTGTGATGATTCTCTTCGTTATGATGCTCGTCTTGGAGGAGAATTCTACGGGGCTGAATCCAGCAAAACGATCAAGGATCAAAGACCAAAAGGAAGAACGAAAGAAATGGAACGAGAATTCTGGCTTACTTTTCCAAGGCCGCTAGCTGAGAGAGGCACGCGCTTGGCAGACGATCGCCAAATCCCACACAAGTCATGCTGCTCTTGAAACTGGAATCCAAACTTTAGCTTTAGACCGATCCACTTTTTCTTACCAGATTCATCGGTGAAGGCCCGATCGGCGAGGAGAAATCGCGAGACTCCTTTCCTTGCCGAGAGAAATCTTTAGCTGGAGTTGGAGTCGCGAGGAAACACTCGCCAGCAGCTCCTTTGCGAGGCGTGTGAAGAAGGAGCACGTCTTCTTTGGCCATTGTTTTCCCGGAGGAAGAGGGACAGATCACCACACGGCGTGCCTGCGCTGCGATTGTTTTACAATCGAACTAATTGATCGAAGTGAGGTCTCTCACTCACCGACGATGGCGTTGCGCGATTCGGAGGCTGAAGAACTCGCGCAGCTCTCCCGCTCAGCTTCTTGACTGTGTGCCGCTGCTGCTGCTCTACCTGCGCAGCATCCACATTCTCACATTGCCCCGACCGAGAGAAGAACCAAACCTCGTTCTCGCGTTTCTCCATCGCCGAGCCCTAGAAACTAGCCGTTGGATTCCAAAGTGGAATGTCCACTAGATGAACGGTAAAGATCTTGCGCGGTTCGTTAAGAGAATTTTCGTCCGTACTCATCACGAACTAGTTTTGTGCCACCCCGTTGGGTCAGGATGTACGTGTGGCTCTCCCGCGCATAGTGCCATTTCACTCAAATTAAGAGCTCCCTCACAGGGCCTTCTTCTTCGAATCCCAGCAGCGCGTAGGGTTAGGGTTCTTTGGGGCGAGCGAGCGAGCGAGCGACGCGACGGGAATGGCGACCGCCTGAGTGGCGATGGGCGGCCACAGCGCTACGTTCGTCGAGGTTTGTGAGTCTCCCTGCATTGCAGCTCTATAGCTCCTCCATCTGAGCCACCGGGATTTTCTAGGTTCCTTTGCTTGGACATGACAAGGAGGAAGGCGTCATACTCCAGCCGTGTACCAGGCAGTCTACGCTCAAGCGCTGCGCTGTGAAGTCGAAAGCTTCGCAGGTTCAGGGAATGGGCAAGGAAAAGCGGAAGTTTGAGAGCGACGAGAAGGAGAATAGCGTTGCCGCTCGGAAGAAGCTCAAAGCGTCGAAAGGGAAAACAATGGAACTTAAGTTCGTGGGAACAGGGAAGCAAGAGGGAGAAGTGGCTAGCTCTCGGAGAAAACGAAAGAATTCGCAGAAGGCGACGAGTTCTCAGGATGATGAAGACTCGGATTACGGTGGAGGTCCTCAAAAAATGATGGAGCTTCAGTCGTTGCAAGACAAGAAAAACGCTAGTGAGGAACTTTCTACGACTGTCGCCCCCAAGCGCGCCACAAGGAAGCAGAAACGAGTCCAGTTGAAGCAGCTGGTTTCTTCGACGGATTTTCTGCGCGAAGGCGTTGTCAAGGAGGCTGATGGATGTGAAACTAGATCGGGCAGTGAAGATCGGCAAGATGCCCAAGCTAAGTCTCAGGCTACTACTTCTGAGGTGTCGACTCCAGGACACAAGGCAAAACACAAAAGTGTCAAATTTTTATTGAGCTCCACTATCGAAACAGATCATGTGTGGGGAGCTAGCAAAACACCGGAGCTCCAACAAAATGAAGAGGAATGGCGAGTGTAAGGATTTTTTATTTTTTTTTCTCTCGTGATGTCTCAAATTTATGTTTGTGGCACAGGATTAATTTGGACGCTGTCAATCCTATGGAGCTGATTGGTAGGAGCTGCAAGGTGAAAGTTTTGTGTCAATTGCATCATTGTTCCTGATTGTATTATTTTCAGGTTTTTTGGCCACTAGACAGCAGATGGTACACAGGGGCCATCCACGAGTATAATCCCGCATCGAAGAAGCATCGAGTACGTCCAGTGTTTGCGCTTAGATGCGTTGTCTAAACGGTTCTCATGCTGCAGATCGACTACGTTGACAACCAAATGGAATGGCTGTGCCTGAGAAATGAGAAGGTGCACTTTCAAATGGGGATCAAGGAAGAAAAAGTGCTGTGCGCTGCTGGCTGCGACGAATATAAAATGCGTCTTGGCGTCGACGAACTCGCCCTCTTGGCGAATGAGATGGAAAGTTTTGAAGAGCAAATCAGCCACGGGACCGTTGTCTGGGCTAAAGTTAAAGGTACTAAGCAAATAGAATGGCTATGTGCTCACCGACGATTGTAGGTTGGCCCATGTGGCCTGCGCTTGTCCTTGACGAAGAGCATGCTGAAAAGTGCGGCTTGGAGCGTCCCCTTAAGAAGTCGACTTTTGCTGTGCAATTTTTTGGCAGCTGTGACTTTGCAAGGTACGTAGGTTATTTTTTCTCACGGTTCATCTTTTTATTTATCAGTAATAGATTACTCGCTCTTGAAGGCTAAACAATGACAAGATCGTTACATTTTCTAAAGGAGTTCAACTTAAATATCACTCAAAATGCAAGCGCCCGGCATTCGATCAGGGATTGAGAGAGGTTGAGAGGTGATGTTCTATTCATAGTTCGATAGTTTGTGGCCATGCGTCTCACTTTTTTTTTTTTTCCTATGTAGTTATTTGAAACAAGGAAGGCTTCCAGAGAAAATGGCACAAATGCTCGAGATACAGTCCAAGAGTAGGAATGACGTAGGGAGAGCATCGAAAACGTCGGATGCAGAAGAATACATTGATGATGAACGAGAGCATCCAACGAAAACCAGCATGGAAGACCTTATGGGGTACCCTCTAGACCTTGGTAGCTTGAAAATATTAAGCTTGGGTACGTGATTTTGTCTTGGCCTTTTTCTTCTTTTGCTTCTTTTCTAATTACTAGTTTTGACAGGCGAAGTAGCTTTTGATTCTGCACACTTTCATAACAAACACTACATATGGCCAGTGGGATTTTCTTCTGTTCGAGTCCTTCCGTTTTTCAAAGGTATTTTGAATTTCCATCATATCTTTGTACCAATGTTTGAAATTAGATCTTGAAAAGCTCGTGGAACATCGAATGGAGGTCACTAGATGTAAATCAGATCCAGCAATACCTGTTTTTCATGTTACTGTTGCCGATACGATTTCTGTGAGTTATTCTTCAATTTATTTGATCGGTATTAACAGCGACTTCAGTTCGAAGGTTCTACTCCTGGTGACTGCTGGAAGAAGGTGTACAAAGAACTAGATAGATTGAAGGAGAAACCTGCGAAAACACACTTCAAACGTCTTTCAGGAGCCAGTATGTTTGGGTTTAACAATCCACGAGTGTTCAAGCTTATTAAGGTAAGCTGGTTATTTGGCGGTGGCTCCGCACCGCTAAACTCCCGCTTTTTCAGGAGTTACCAAATGCACGCGAGTGTTCAAATTTTATGGACTGGGACAAAGTACATTCTTCGAAGAAGTCAAAACAGGCAGGACCATCGGGATACAAGCCCATCAATGTTATGTGGAAGCACCTTGAGAGGTGCAACGTGTGCTATCTGGATGAGGCAGGTTTGCAGATTTAATTTCACGCGGTGCTATCTTCCTTGCTACAGGAATACGACGGCAATCTTCTGTTGCAGTGCGCGAAATGCAGATTGATGGTATGTGATGAGAACTGTCAGAAACACTCACGCCAGGATCATTTACAGATACACATGTCATGTTATGGAGAACAAGATTTACCAAGTGATGGTTTCTGGCTTTGTCAACTTTGTAAGCGGAATACAACTCAGCTGCCGCTTTGTTGCCTATGCCCAGTTGCTGGTAAGCAGCACCTGTTTTAGATATGGTCAGCAGCACTCTTTTCACGTTATTCTCTCTGCAGGGGGCGCGATGAAGAAGACTACAGACGGCAGATGGGCTCATTTGACGTGCGCGATGTGGATACCAGGTAAGAGAGCACTGTTCCGGCATTACAATCGTTTACAACTTCCAAAATGTCAGAAACATGCCTTGTGGATGTCAAGAAAATGGAACCAATTGATGGCGTTAGCTCTATCCACAAAGTAAGTTCAATTTGTATACTCAGCGTAGGTAATGATACCGTATGGTTTCAGGAAAGGTGGAAACTGACGTGCAGCGTTTGTCGAGTGTCTCACGGGGCATGCATTCAGGTAATTGCCTTCTCAGTTGTCGGCCTGTTGTTAAGTTTGACCAGATTGCAGTGTAGTCATCACCAGTGCATGACATCTTACCATCCTCTTTGTGCCAGAGCGGCTGGATTTTCCATGGAGGTTTTGTTGGTCTGAATTGGCGTATATAATCTCTAACACATTTTTATCCTTTTCAGATTCAGGACGACGATGGAGACGGGCTTGAAAAACCGCTGAAGTTGCTGTCTTTTTGCTCCAAACATAACAATCGCGCGTCCTCGCATGTTGATGTTCATCTTTCTAGTCAGGAAAGTGAGGTGGTAGAGAATTCCTCTGGATGTTCAAGATGCGGTACGTGCCTTTTTTTCTTTTCTTTGCTTGCAACTAGAAACTAATACTTTTTGCAGAACCATACAATCCCGTTTCACGGCGCAGGAGGCAAGAACCTGAAGGCAAAGCTCTGTCTACTTCAAAGCGATCATTTGTTGAGAAGACGCCTTATCTCGTCGCTAACTTCGAAAGGAAGGCAAAGCTCGTTAAAATTGGCAAGGCTTACAAATCGGTGTTTGGAACCGTTGGACAAGGATCCTTTTTGTCGGACAGAAGCACGGAAGAGCCGGTGCTTTCGATGTCGGCGAGGCTGGAGAGTATGAGGTCTACAATGCACGATCGGCTAACTTTCGGTAAAGAATCACCTTGTCCACAGCAAATATTCGTATGTTTCCCTCCTTGTGATGCAGGAAAGTCAGGCATTCATGGCTGGGGTGTCTTTGCCAAGCAGATCCATAAAGCAGGCGATATGGTAATCACGATTCTTGTGCTTTTCTAGAGTTCAGTGAGTGCGCATTTCAACCAGATGGCCGAATATGCGGGAGAGATTGTGAGATCGAACATCGCAGACATCAGAGAACGACGTCATTACGATTCGCTAGTGGTGAGTCGTCATTTCGGCGTCGCTGTTTTTCCTTTTCTTTTTGCTCTTCTCGAGTCTCAAGTGGTGGACTTTCCAGGGCGCGGGAACATACATGTTTCGCATTGATGACGAGCGAGTGGTGGACGCAACGCATGTCGGCAGCATGGCGCACTTGATCAATCACTCGTGCGAAGTAAGGCCCGATTTTGTAATGCTTTCATCGCATCGTGACTGTTTGCTTTGTCGTCAGCCAAACTGCTACTCCCGAATCATCACGGTGGACGCAAAGGACTCGATCATCATTTTTGCGAAGCGCGACATCCACCCATGGGAGGAGCTAACTTATGACTACAGGTTCTTTGATATTCATCCTCTTTGCAAATCTCTCAAAGTTTGGATTGGATTTCCTTTAGATTTGCTTCGAAAGGGGCGGAATTGGTGTGCAACTGTGGAGCTCTAAAGTGTAGAGGCAGTGTGAGACACAGCGACGACAGTAACAATGAGGGAAGAATCCTTGCTCTTCGCTCCTCGCTACGCAGCTGGACGCCACTATAAAGCTACGTTTAAGAAGTATTACTGTTTAACCCTAATCATAAACCCTTTTTAAACCCTTTTTAACCGCACAAGAATATTCTGATCAATGTGCGCGTACATTGTACAAGAAAATCGCGAGCTTAATTGAAAGACAATTGATCGTGGAGAGCTCCTCCAGGAGCTTCCATGGATTCCAGCCATGGACTACACCATATCTTTTGTTTTTCGAGTCTTTGTTTCCCACACTTGAGAGATACAGTGGGAGGTGTGATATGGTTTTACCAGCCTCCGTCTTTGCTGCCTTGCAGCACCTTGTGGAGCCTAAAAACTTCGCCCTGATCACCGTTGATGGCTCGCACCTCGCGCTGCGAGCACGTCAGTTGCCGCAACAGCTTCTCCAGCGTCGACTGTGGCGATGGACCCGACGAGTTTGGATTCATGGCTAGGATGACGGCGTTCACCGCGTCGGCCACTGCCTCTCTCTGCCGGACCTTGAGCAAGTAGCACACGGGCGACTCCGCCGGCTTTTCGTAGGCGAGCAAAGCCAAGCAATCCTGCATCGAGTGTTATGCGGCTCTATGTGCGTAAAACTGGAAATCAAACTTACCTGGAGCAGCGACTGGAACAAAAGATTCCCAAAGAAGTTTACGAGTTCTGCACGGGCATAAGTGACTGCTGCCTCCAAAGATCCAGCCTGCAAGTGATGGTCGTTAGCTCGAGAGAGACGATGACAGCACATCCAAAAGAGGAAGGACGAGTAACCTTTACGAGCTCAATGAACTTCTGGCAGTGCAAAAGGAATGAAATGGCTGAGCGCCCATCCTGCAAGAGCGGTGAACTGGATCAAAACACAGTGTAGAGACGTTAAAAGCTACACACCTCTAGTATCTCAGGATACCACTCCCGCAGTTTCGAGAAAACGCCGTCCACATCACCTTCCCTGGCGAGCTATGACAGATAGAGGAAGGTGTTCATTCCGAAAGCAAGAAATGACAGGAAAATTACCCGACGAAGGGCATTTCTCTCGTGGAGAGCGTAGTTCTCTTGAACAGGCTTTACACCGTTGTCCTTCAAGCCCACCACGGATGGGAATGTCCCACCGCAAGCATCATCAAAGGCTTCCAAAGTTTCTTGGTATCCGTAATGTAGCAAGTATGCACGCACAATGCTGGAATGTTTACGACAAAACAATCAGATCAAGAAATCAGAATTGTCGTCTTATCACACACCTGTGGCTCACACTTAAAGGCAGAGGAACGTTTTCCACTTCTGCCTGACGCTTCTCGCGTTCCTCTTGAATCAAAGCCTGGCGGAACCTTAAGAAGATTTAGACGTAGACAATACATGCCTCAACCCACCTCCACGTCGAAAACAAATGGATTTTGGCCGAAGTTTACAGACACCCTGCAAGGTCCAAATACATCTCAGAAAAGTAAATCGATAGTAAAGCTCCATACTTCTCGTTGGGACTATGAAGTCCAATGGTAGGATAGAGTGGAACCTTCACATCCTTGGATTTTTTCCCTACTAGTTTGCTGTTCTTCCTGCAGCATGACAAGCATCGTGAAGGAGGGATTAGTAAAGCAAAACTTCCGAGGATTCAATAACTTACGTAAAGAAAAGCTCTTGAGCAAGGTAGTTTATACCGGCTCCAACAGTGTCATTCGTCGTGAAGGTCACGTTTAAGTTCTCGTTGCTCTTTGGGCCGTAGTAGAGCTTCCCATCATCTCCGTGGTAGCCATAGCTATTTGGCTCCCATCTGGAAAAGTATAATCGAAAAGAGAAAGATGAGAGAAGGCTTCTTTCTTTCTCTGTGAACTCACCCGGGCTGACGGCTCGTCTTGAAGTTTTGATCGCTGAATCCGATCGAGATCACTCCTTTTTGTCCTCGATCACACACGGTCATCTCGAAGTAGTAGCAAAGCCTTCTGGATGGCGCCGGCCTGTTTCCCTGGACAGCCCCCACATCGTTGCCATGCTTGCCTTCTCCATTGTACTTCGCCGTGAGCTTGTCCATGGAAATCCCAAGAAAATGGCCGCAATTGTTGGTGTTGAGAAAGCTGGGAGCCTCTTCTTCTTCGTCGCCATCGTCATCCTCCGGCTTTCTCATCCCCAGCGCCAGCAACGTCGGCTCCAAATCCGGCGGACTGGTAGAAACCATGGGCATGGCGCTCCAATCGATCGTTTCTGGATCGATCGAGATCCAGGAGAACACTCCTACTCTACAGACCTGCCGCGATCACGATCATGCCCTGGGAGCTCAGTCGCCATTGCCCTAGCCCTAGAAATATGCTGACGTCATCATGCCTTGTTTTGTTTTGGCGGCAATTATACTCTAACAACAAAGAACCGATGACGTGGCAGGTTTAAAAGTCTTTTTGGCGGGAAAGCGAGATGATTGTCATTTAGGTCAGGGAATCGATGCGTAGGGCTGTAGAGATCGCGCGTGGCGCTGCTGCTGGCCGTGTCACGGCGACGCTCTCTGGCGCTGGCGCTGGCGCTGGTCGTGGCGCAGCGAGGAATCAGTGGAGGTCGCTGTTCATCGTGCTTAATCTTCGCCAACGAGTGTCTCGAGGGTTCGTGATGTGGAGGAATGATGCCGCGGGTCCTCCTCCCCCTCGTGTGCTGCCGCTGTCAAGGGATTCTTTCCGGGCTTCCATTTGTAGGTTCCTGTACTGGAAAGGCTTTCGCACTAGCTGTGAGGCGCCAATGGGGACGAGCGATTGGGGCAACTTGTCAGGAAAGCTGAGGTGTTGCTTTGTGGCCAGTGGCGATCCCAGTGATCTCCACAGACAATCACGAACAATGGCGGTCTCTTCGTCCTGGAACCAGAAAAAGCGAGCTTCTTTAAAGCTCGATTGTCAATGCGCTCCATCCAGAGCGCGCGAGATTGGTAAACGCTTTTCTTAGTTGACAAAGCACTCGACTTGGATTCCATGCAGGACGCACGCAGTGGAGACGGATTGAGACCGATGCTCGACAGCGTGGGTCTTCTCTCCAGACTGAAGAGACGGATATGTATATTCCCGTCAAGGCTTTCTTCGTATCTCGGAGGTAAAAGGAAAAGCTTAGCGATTGTGAGTGCTAACTACATCTGCTGGGTTATAGAATGCAGTGTGGACTTGAAGGGCCTGGCATGCGAGCATTTTGACGACGTGATTTCCACTCGTAAAGAGCTCGTGCTAAGGTGCAGGGATCGACCAGTAGACTCGCCCGCGCATACGAAGAAGCCTGTACATAGTACTAAATGTTTGCGTTTGCTTTGTCTTTCATTCTATTGCTGCTGCTTATGCTCGTGTGTTTTTCTTGTTGTTTTCAGGCTATTCCACAGCTGAAGTGTTGGACATGCGAACGTTATATGGTTGTGTATCAGTATGGCTCTGTAGTGCTTTTCAACTTTGGGGATGAGGAGGAGACTGAGTTCTTAAACGTCGTCCGCAAGTACTGCAAGGAGGAGTTTGGCAAGCCGAAGAAGGAGGGTACATTCCGAATCAGTTCATGCTAAGATGATACTAAGGTAATGAAATCTAGTTGTGTTACAAACTGAAATTCTTCTCCTGCAGATTACGGCGTGCTGATCAGGCCAACACTGTCGGAGTGGAGTCACGGATCACACGACATAATTATGCTGAGGAAGTTTGACATCGATAACATTCGCATCATTGCCAGTGTCTTGGCACAGAGTATTGCCTTGGACTACTTTGCAAAGCTGGTCAGTACAATTTTTTTGCATCTTTTTTTTTCCACCTCTGACACTGCTGGGCCTTTGTGCAGGTTGATGAGATGATAAATGTCTTTAGTGAGCTCAACCGAGGTATGGAGCGCACCGGTACTTTTACGATGACCCGCAAAAAGCTATTCCAGCTCGTTGCTTCAGCGAACTTCACACTTGCCGACGTCATTGTCCGTATGGGACTTTTAGAAAGGTAACTCGCAGCTCATTTACTAGTACGATGGCCAGACTCCTGTGTCGGTGATGCTCTGTAACAGGTCGGACGCGGCGTGGAAGAACATAAACTACGCTCGGGTTTTTGAGTTTATGAGGGAGGAGTTTGAGCTCAACGAGCGTTTCAAGAGCTTACATTTCAAGCTCAATATTATCCAGGTAGAACGAGAGCTTTGTTCTTAAACCTTCTACTCACTCTTTCTCTCCCTTTGGCAGCACAACGTTCGGCTGTTTCTAGAGGTTCTCCAGAATCGTAAATCTGACATCTTAGAATGGATAATCATTCTGCTGCTTGCTGGAGAAATCGGTGTCGGCGTGTATGACATATTGCACGAGGCAGGCGTCATATGAGAGTAAGTTAAAAAAAAGAAAAAAAACAGACTCTCTCTCTTCTTGCCATCCTCTTTATCGTTTCTAGCTAAGCAAATCTCCTTGCTGGCGCCGGCTGCGATTGCTGTTTTGGCCGCACTAACTTAGCAATCGATTATCTTTCTCTTGGGCGCAGAGACAGCAGGAGCAACTCCATCCAGCACAGAGATCTCTCGAGCTTAATCTAAATCAAGCCAGGACAGCAAACAATCGAGCGCGCTCTGAGGACAAGATCTCTGCTGGACAAGCTTGCGTACGCCAATTTTCGCCACTCGAGAGAGCTCGCGCTAAAGTACAAGACAAAAGATTTCCTCCTCCTTTGCACACATTACAAAACATCACATCATCCATCGCCCCTGGCTTTCCATACTTTCTAAATAACTGAACTCTATCAATCTTATAAATTCGTGTGATATACACATACAAAACATACCATATGAATATAATATATATTATATATATAAAAATATCAATCCACCTTTGATGATGTATACTATATTCACAAAAAACAGTGACTTTGTGTCCTCCTCTGCTCGATGATCTTTGGCAAATTTACATTCGTTCTTCCCTGTCCGTCCTCACGCTGCTTGGCTCGTTTTCCTCAAGTAGCTCTCAAACGCGTCCAGCGTGTGGACATCGGTTCTATAGTGCTTCTGGGTGAATTCTAGCAGCTGCCCCCAATTAAACTCCACGCACGGCCTCTCGCGATCTTGCTCTTCGTCTTCTTTGCTCTTGACCACCAGCTCCGGAATCGGCCGGATCACCGTGTCCAGCCCCGGGTTGATGAAGAAAACCAGCGAGTGCCTGGCTCGGGTGGCATGGATCACTGCGCGGTGCTTGGCACTCTTGTAGCGATGGTTGCACAGTGCCTGTGACGAAGAGAAAGCTGCGTGAGAGATGTTTTATAAAAAGAAAAAGGAAAAAAGAAGAGCACCACCATCTACAACCAGCTATAGCGCTGCGAGGAGGGAGAGGAGAGGGAAGAGCAGAAACAAAAGAATTCTCGCTCTGTTTACCTGGAATGTGTCACCGATGCTGATGACAAACGCATCGGCACGGGGCTCGACTGTGACCCAAGTCTCGTCTCTGTTGTACACTTGCAGTCCTCCAACTTCATCCTGGTGGAGAATTGTTAATGCGCACGGGTCGGTGTGAGGCCCCGTCCCCAGCAGCCGGGAGAAGTGCTCCGACGGCGGGTACATGTTCATCCGGAAGATGGAGAAGCCATCGTCGAAGTAGCTGTGCAAAGCATCGGGAGCCAGCTCCAAGCTCTGCGCAATCAGCTCAATCAGCTCTCGTCCCAGCTTCTCCATTGCCTTGCAGTAAGTCTCGTAGAGAGCACTGGAAAAAACATAAAAAAGATCGTTTTTCTGTTATAGTTGTTAAGAAGAAGCGCAAGAGCTCGGGGAAGAAACGGAAGGAAAATGGAGGCGGGGAGCTGCTGCTTACCAATGCTGCTCATGCTGTTCCGCGGTGTAAACTTTGATCATGTAGTCCTTGATGTTTGAGTTCGGCGTGTACTGAAGCGAGAATGTTTCCTTCCAGGGGCATTTGGATTTGAACCTCCCAGCAAACTTGCCGGCGAATCCAAAGCTGTTCCCGGCGGAGCGAGCCGCTCGTAACTTGGTGTCGCTGGGGAATTCGAAGAACTGGCGAGCACTCGCATGCACCTGGTTTACAAGCTCGTGATCCACACCGTGATTGACGACCTGGAAGAATCCACTCTGCCTGCACGCTCTGCCAATCTCATCAACCTTGGCTTTGGATCCACCAGCCAGATCAATGGTCGGGACATCCTGCTGGCTCGCAAACTTGCCATGCTCCGGGAGCGAGCAGTCGCCACGAGGCCACACATAGGACTCGAGTTCGCAACTAGTATTCATCGGCGGCGTCGCGCGGCAAAAGTTCTTCTTGACGATGGTGGTGATGTCTGATGACGGTACTGCTTCTCGGGCGGGTTTCAAAGCAGGAGCTGCATGAAGAACTGGATTACCGGACTGGAAACGGAAAAGAAAAAGAGCAGCAGCAGCATTACTTGACACCCAGGAGCAGCATCTCGAAGAAGCGTGTCTTGTTCCCACCTTCTTCCCCCTCCCTTGTCTCTGCCGACAATAGAGACAAAGAGCTCAGCAGAGATAGAGACAAGCTGGAGCAGAGAGGCGAGTGGTACCGTCTTTTATCGCAGTCTCGAGTGAGGAACAGACATCAGGTGGGACGCGAGTAGAATCGTAGCCAATCTACGTCTGTGCCTTTTCTTCTCTCCTCCCTCTTCTTCCCGGTGACAAACTAGTTCCTCGCGCTGCTTTCTTCCCCTGCCCCTGTGTGTTCTAGTCTAGTCCCCGTTGCAACCAAATCTCCCCTTCTAGGGAAAAAGTTGACGCTTTTTCCTGGGAACAGTGGTCGCCGTAGTCTCTGTTACGTGACTGAAGTGAGCCAACAGTGATGGCGGCACTGCCTGATCACAAAAAGCTCCACACCTGATTGATGACATACGGTCGAGAGCAGAAAATCCCACGAGCATCTTGCGATGAACGCTGGCACGAAAAGTTGTGGCACAATCATCCACTGTTTCGCTGAGGATGACAGGGGAATCAGCACTCTCATCACTCGCCACCACTTTGACGAAAGCAGTTTGTGCTGTGCGTGTGCCACAGTCGTTTTCTTTTTTCCTCTTCTCCTCTTTCTCCTCCTCCTCCTCCTCCTCCCATCCCTTCTCATCTTTAGCGCAGCCAACCACATTCTCCGATAATTCTTTCTTCCTCTGTGTAAAATCTTTCCTTTGCTTTCACCTTGCAAGAGGACATAATCTTGTCAGCGCTTAGAGGCCAGAAGAAAGACAATAGAAGACAAACAGTCCACGGGCACGTACCGATTATCACGTGAAGAGATTCAGATACATTTTCCGCATCTTTTGGCCTTGGCTCTTCCTCCAAACGGTATTGCAAATCATTGCTCGCCAAGCCACAGAAATTCCCCCTTCCCTCGCATCCCACAAAGTCGCGACGCATCCATCGATCCTGCCTGCATTGTCTCGTCACTGCGCCACTGCCCCATCCATGATCGGTCGGTCTAAGGAGAAACATTCCCTACCTCCATCGAGCGCCTTCTCCACTCGCCGCGCTAAAACCCTAAAATGATTTTTTAAACTACACCTAGCCACCAGGATTCGAACTTTCGACCGCTGCCAGCTTTGCCGAGATTCGAACCCCAGACGTCATTTTAAGAAATGACGCATATTTGCATTTAAGAAACATTTTCTAAAGCAAGAAAGAACTTCAGCAGTGAGCATGCCAATGTATGAAACTGCCCTTTCTGCGTCAACAATTGCCTCAAGTGCCTCTTCTCTTCGAGCCTGTTCCTTGGCTGCCTTCTCGGCTTTCACTGCCTCCTTGTGAGCAACTTCCAAGCAACCATGGCAATGGTCTTTCGAATCCTCGCAAGCCTGATGATACCAGCATTCACAGAATTCACACTGCACCCACAGCGTGTCCTCGAGAGTATTACAAACACAACATCTAGGATTTGCCTGCATCAAAAAATAAATTAAAAAAACATGAGAATATATGCTTGCTTTTCTGATTTTAGTTCATCAATGTCAATCGTTCTTCTTGTTGAAATGCTTTTCCATAGTCATCTGTGCTGGAAGTCATGCGTGCTTTCTTTTCTCGCAAAGCGAAAGCTGATTATCTCTCCACGATACCGACCATCCCTCAGCCTCCCCAGCTTCTCGTCGATACAGGCTAAGATCTTGTCAAAGCACCGGAAATTAAGATAGGCCTCATGCTAGATTAGTTCACCACCTCCGCCACATCAAACTTCCTTGTTTCAAACCAAGGACTCATGGAGTATACCGCCCACGCAAGGACGTGAGGCCTCCACTTGTCATCTGACGGGAACAATTCCCATGCTCTCGACCTGGCATGCTCGTGATCCTCAATCGCCCGAGCCCCTGTTGCAAACTGGATGACTACGAAGTGCGAATCTGCAACATAGTAACAACCGAGTCCTTTCTCAGTTCCATGAATAGGAATGAAAGGCGTCGGAACGGAGATCTCTTTGGTCATCGCCATTGTAAAGCTCCCACGAAATTTGCAGACTGCTGTCGGAGTTATAGTCACAGAGTCTTCTTGGTCATACTTTATGACGGGTTGCTTGTACCGGGCCACGAGATTGCATGCCTGCTGTGTGTTCAGACCAATTCGTGAGAAAATACCGCGATGATCGCTTTGGATAACTGATGTCCATAGCCGAATCTGCTCATCGATCTGGTCCAAGTTATCCACTGGACTTGCCACGAGCATGAACTAGGCCAATCAGATTCTGGATGTACTCTTTAAGAGCCTTACGGTACTTTCGATCGCTCCTGGTGGCAACCAACCCCGGAACCCAGCCAGTCTTCCACCAAATACAGTGCCTTCACGAACGCCAAGTAGTTCGTTATCTTCCTCGACAAAAACTGTTTAGAAAAAACAGAAAAGAGAAGAAATACCATCTATATTAATCAGCAAAAAGCAGGGAGATAGAAATGGATTTGCTCGCGCCGGCTACGGGCCACGAGCGTTCGGCGTGTGGTTGTGCATCCTGCGAGGACACCGGTGGTTCCAGAGGGCGTGCCTATCTGCGACACTGTGTGCGAGGTACCAGCTCATATCACAAATCAGAGCTCTTTATGGGTTTGGCTCAAGAATCTCCTTCCCGATGTGGATTTGATCGACGGAGCAGCATCGGTCACGTGGGTTGAAGTTAACAAAGTTCCTTTGCTGCCCTCATTCACATTATATGTCCGCAGAGCACCGCCAGATACGTGGTGGTAGAGTTTGATAGTATCTTGATGCTAACTCTGCTTGTCACTCAGCTCCATCATCAAGTCCATTGAGCTCAACTCTTGCCACTATTCGGTAGCGATGGCTGCTGACTCTTGTGGTATTCATGGAAAACATAAGGTTTTTACACCGGAGGTGCTCTCCGACCCTAGTAAAGAAAGAATCATCACGTTCATGGAGAGCGCAGACACAGTTCAGTGATGGGCCGGCTCACTTATCACTTTTATCCGGGACTCGACCGTCAGGCGCTCTAAGTTTAACTTCGTGCTCAGATCAGCATCGTCTGGAAAGACTTAAAGCGTCCGTGCTGCGTCTCTGTTCCTCTTTCTGAAGTTTTTTTCCTCAGCACACAGAAGGCTGATGCACGTCAACGGGGAAGAGTTTTCGAAGTATCCAGTGACACTCATCCACTCGCTTGCCTTGGGTTATCACGACAGCAGTGCCACTCAATACTACATTCAGAACCTCAGGGATGACAAAGATGTCCATCAGGTGACCAAGATCATGCAGAAGATAGTTCAGGGTGATAACAATAGAAGGCTTCATCTGGTGCTGGATGATGGTCTTGAGATCTCTGCTGAGCATGCAGTTTTATTTTGGAGTATTGCTAGTTTTGGTGCTGTAGTCTTGTGTGGGAAGTGGCAAGAGTTTTTGAAAGATCTTCTTGAGGAAAAATTATATACACAATGAAGTAATTTGATGTATTGTGATAATAAAAAAAGAAAAATCAACAATTTTTTTTTTTTTGTTTTCCTTAATAATTTTTCTCCGGGATTTTTTTTAAAAGGTGATCATAACTAAAAGAAACACACAAATGTGATTGAGTCATCAAATTGACAAAAGTAAAACAAAATGACATAGGCAAATGTTGTAAAACCTCAATTAAATAACAATAATAAAATTTTTGTTATTCAATTAAGTGTTTTCAAGTATTTACTTATACTATCCTTCATCAATTTAATAAATCATTTCATCTAGGTGTTTCTTTGAGTTCTAATCACTTTTCAAAAAACAAAACCATGAGAAAAACTACTAAATAAATAAATAAATATATATATTATTTAGTTATTAACTCTACCAAAAAGTACTCCATTGTTGTAGCACATTAAGTTACTTTATCATGTGTATAATCTTTCCTCAAGATCTCCTTGAACATAAATTAAAGTTTTTTTATAACAATAAAAAATATTTATTTTTCCTCTTTCAACCATGATAGTAAGCTTTGATTGCCATTACCATTTATAAACTCTAAATACACCCGAATTATACGTTTACCGAAACATAAGTTCATTATAAAATTTACAAAAAATATGTCATCTGCATAAAAAAAAAACTAAAAAAATAGCAAACAAGAAAAAGTAAACTAACTAAATGCAGCTTATGGAGACTTGTTAGAATCTCTTTCTGCACAGCTCCCATGCAGGAGAGGTCCTTTTCTAACTCAACCACTTGTTTTTCATTTTTTGTTTCAAAGAAATTATTTTTTTCATGAAAATCCACATTTTTTGTTTCAAGTAGGTTGACTTTTCCTTGAAGATTCACATTTTTTGCTTCAAGGAGGTTGACTTTTCCCTGAAGATTCACATTTTTTGCTTCAAGGAGGTTAATTTGTTATTGTATCCTCTTATTGTTAACATTCAATTGGATATCTTCTAGCATTTGTTTTTGCCATTTTATTCTCCCCTCGTCAATTTGACTAGCTCTGTCCCATTTATGTGCCTTTTAAAGTTGCAATCACCCTTTCAAATAAAAACTACTTATCTTTGAAAAAATTAAGAATTTTTTTGTTAATTTAACTAAAAACTTGCAATAATTATAACATTCCAATTAACTTTTTCTCATATTCTTTTTGTCTTTAAATCTATTTCTCATATCCTTCTTGTCTTCAATTCATTTCAATGAATTTGTTAGAATTTATGACTTAGTTTAGTTGAGAGTTAATTAAAAAAGAATGACTATAATTTAAGATTCTTTTTTTTGTTTGTTAACTCTATTATAAAATACTCCATCTCCATAGCATACTAATCTACTTCATTGTGTAAACAATCATTCCTTAAGAAGATTTCTATGAAAATAACAAAGATTAAAAAAGTTTCTGCAACAATAAAAAAATTTTACTTTCTTTTTGTATCTTTAGGAGGATGTAAATATATTTTTCCACACAATAAACATTGAAAGCCTTGCTTTCGACAAGTTTAATGTTTTGTCTGCTTTATATCATCTCATCGCACCTTATAAACCTTAAACACACTAACTTAAAAACCCTAAAAATATTGAATATCAAAAAGGAAAATATTTATTAAGCATAATATAAACTAAAAAACTTACTATAACATTAAAATGTTATTATAACCTTTGTCATATAATAAAGTAATTGAAGGAGATAATGTATAGTGATGAAAAATTAAATTTATGAAAAGAAGAATATTTAATATTGTTTAATTTTATTCAACTTACTCACAGACTTTGAAATGTATATATTTTACACCTCAAAGATGTAAATTTATTGATAAAGCATTTTATTGTTAGCATTTAAATATTTACTATTGTGAATGAATTTCTTTTTAATTGCAATTACCCTTTAAAAACAAACTAAGAAAAAATACATTTTTAGACTCTTTTTATTGCTTTTTAACTTAGCCATAAACTATTTTATCACCATAGCATACCATAATATTTCTGTAAGCAACCAAAGGGAATGATTCGATAAATGATCCATAAGGGTTCAAATATAGAAGGAAAGGGCCCATGAACAAGAGTGCACCCCCTTTTCCAATCGGTTAAGGGTCTTGGGATATTTGAGGTTAAGCGTCCTTGGATTTGAATAGTACTAGGCTGGGTGACCTTCTAGGAAGTCCAAATTCAAGGAGCTTACATTTGGTATCAGAGCGGTCTCGAGTCCAACTTTGTTAGTGTAAGCCACAAATTTTTCCTTTCCAATTTGCCAGCTTACCTCGTCAATCCGTCCAACACTGCCTTGGCTTTTGCTAAGTTCCCTCGCCAAGGTTCTCGCCTATGGTACCAGCTCCTACTTGGTTTCAGCTACTCACTGCACGAGCAACGGAGTGTTAGCCATCCTTCCACGGATTCCCAAATCACTCCCAATCCCCCTCCCCGGGTTAGACTGGACTAAGGTTCGGCTACACTCCCCGCAAGCACAAGCAGCCAAGCACACCAAGCTTCCAGGTTCCTAACATCCCTTGGTACCACAAGACTTGATCATGGGACCCTCTAAATCCCAAGTCTTGAGTGCAACACTTGCTTCGGGACGTCGGGGCGAAACACCGTGGCC